ACTGGCTGCAAAGAATTCTTGTCCTACTATTATCAGTAAGGAGGATTTGGAATACTTTTTATCGACTCCATTATTCTATTGAGTTTTACTTCTGTACCTGCTATTTCCTGGGTACCCACAGTAACAAAGTTAAGAAGAGAGTGGGGTGGTAGCAATACCCATGATCCAAGAATCATTTTCCAGCTTTTACTGACTCCCACATATGTAATCCCCTACTGTAACGATGGACTCTATTAAAGCATTTACAACACAGGGAATGGTTAAGCTAATACTTTTGTACATCTGGTATTTTCTTATTTAACCTTCAGATAAATTCCTTATGGAACACAGCAATTATTACTGTTTTATGACTGTGGAAGTCAAGAGCCTAACATTGTGGAAGATGTGAAAGAAAAAGGAAAACAACAACAAAAAAAAACAGTCTCAGGGCTTCAAGTGGTGTTGCTTGTATGGTACCCAGCTACTTCATTGGCTCACAGATAGGAAAAGCCTTCTTCCTTTCTTTAGATGTCTGGCCCAAGCTGGCAAGATGATATCTTGGCATTCCAGTTTAAATAGTCCAATAAGAGGGCTAATAATGATGAGGATGAAGTAGGCTTATCCTAAGACCCAAGTGATTTAAGTGTATTATATAGGTACCAAAAATGTTCTTCATAGCAGAAAGCCCAGCAGTTAGCAATCATTAAGCATTATCTGTTATGGCATAAATCTAGTTGATAGATTAACTGATATAATTGTTTATAGGAAGGGTAGAAGGGAAAAGAAGGTGGGATGCGGACTAATTTGAAGGGCATCTAGTTTCAGCCAGGGGTATACTATGGAAGCCAGTGCAGAGGGACTGAATGCCAGATATCAGGGGTGAAGGAAGAATTCACTTACACCCTTGGTTTAGCTCTGTGATACTCAATAGGAGTCAGCATGTGTCATGCTGAGGGACAAGGTTTATAATTTATAAAGCTGTGACTTCTCAGGGAATAAACCTAACTGACAGGATGATTTTAGAAGCTTTACATTTTGCAGGAGGCCAGTATTAAGTAAGCACTTCCCTCTTTGAAGGTAAGATCTTCAGTTTTGTTTTTTGGTTTTTTTTTTGTGACAGTGACACAGTAGTTGACAATCCTAGCTATTCTGGCTTATCAAAATGCAAACTGTAAATGCAGCCTTTCTCCTTTATTCAGAGTGCTCAATTACTTTTAAAGTTACTTCCTTTCATTGTGCACATAATATTCTTTCCAACTAATATTTTAAAGGATCTAGCAGGGTATGGTGGTGTGCACCTGTAGTCCTAGACCTTGGGAGGTGGAAGCCAGAGGATCAGGAGTTCAAGGCCAGGTTAGAATACATGAGACCCTGTCTCAAAAAGCAAAACTCCTTGCTTTGATTAGATGAGGATTAGGGAATACAATACAGGCTTCATGGCTCGTTTTTGGCCTTTTACCACTGGAAAAATTCCTTCATGCACATGCAAGATCGGACAAAAAATCTCAAAGATGATTATCTCCTCTTAAAGCAGGTTGCCAGGCTTTTGCAGCAAGCACTTTACCCAGGAAGCCATCTTGCTAGCCCCTAAATTTTACTTTAAAACACTGCATCTTATTTTCTATAATTGCGTACATGTGAGTGTGGGCACACATGTGTCACTAAGAATGTGTGGAGTTCTGTGGCGGTTTGAAATAAAATGGCCCCAATAAGCCCATAGGGAGTGGCACTATTAGGAGGTATAGCCTTATGGAAGTGGGTGTAGCCTTGCTGAAGGAACTGTGTCAATGTGGGTGTGGGCTTTGAGAGTCTCATATGCTCAACCATGCCTAGTGTGACAGTTCACTTCCTGTTTCCTGCATATCAAGACATAGAACTCTCAGCTCCTTCTCCAGAACCATGCCTACATTCTGCCATGCCCCTCCATGATGATAATAGACTAAACCTCTGAAACTGTTAAGCCACCTCCAATTAAATGTTTTCCTTTATAAGAGTTGCCATAGTCATGGCGTCTCTTCACAGCAACAGAAACCCTAAGGCAAAGTCAGAGGACAACTTTCAGGAGTTGTTTTTTTTCCCTGCCACCTTGAGTTTCTGTGGCCAAAGTTGTCAGCATTGCATGGCAAGCACTTTTACCTATTAAGCCACAAAGACAATTTTTGATAGTTGACATGTATATAAAGTAGGGTATATATAATTCTTTGCATTTCCCAAAATAGGTGCCTCAGGGTATAACTCAAAGTGCAACCCAGAGTGCACTGAGTGTAGTGATACCACCTATTAATTGAATGCAGTTATAGACAAAGATACTAACCCTGGATACAAAAGCTGAATGCATCAGCCCTAGACATTTAGTGTTCATAAAAAAGAATCTACCACCTCAACAGAAGAAAGAGAATAAAATTAAAGAAATGTATGAAACACTAAAATCTATAGTATAGATTGTTGCCTCTAAAGGGTAAGCACAGATACAAATGATATTAGGGAACTCAATTCTAAAAAAAGTTCATTAGTACACTTTTCCAAATAATCTTCCCTAGAGCATTTAGGTGCTGCTGATTTTTGTTTTCATTTTTACTTTTGAGACAGGGTCTCATGCATCTTTTAAATTTCGTGTGTAGGCAATGATGACCTTGAAGTCCTGGCTCTTTTGTCTCCATGTCTCAAGTGCTGGATTATAGCCATGTGCCATCACACATTGTCACTGTTCCCTTCACACCCACAAAACATGGGAACGGGAAAATAAGTACAATCTCATTAACAGGAACAGATTATTACCTGAGTGATTACCAATACCAAGAGATGAACTACTCTTACCAAGGCATCTTCTATTTTTAAAAGAACAAAAGGCTCAATTTGTTCCAATTACAGGAATCTACTTCCTTTATCATAGTCTACCACTTATCCACAAACAACAGTTACTATTCTTGTGGTAAGTTCTATGAAACACTGATTTTCTTCTTCCCTGGGTCACTAGAGAGAAAAGAGCAAATCATCACAGATTTTGTATTCATTTGAGGATGAAGAATCTCTAGGAAAACTATTAGCATGAATGTGTATGTGTCTATTGAAATCATAACATGAAATCTCTTTAGCCTACTTCATTAGGACAAAACATGGAAGGCAAGAATGTTTTTAATCTCTATTTCTTAAGTGAGAAAATTGGTATGTCAGAGGCTATACAGGTAGTAATAAACCAAACTGAGACTAAAATTTAAACCACTTGACACTGACTGCTTTAACCATTGACTTTCCATGTTATTAAATCACCTCTTATGAAAACTGCTCAACTTGTAAAGGAAAGTTCTTGTGGTAGTCAGTGGAGGGGATGATCCCATTCCAAAGGTGGTATATATCTTAATTTTAGTCAGGAAAGCAATGTATGTATGGTCTATTAGTGACATGATTTTTGTGGGGACTTGACAAAATGTAATTCCCATGCCCACATAAAGAAGTGTTTAAATAGCCCTTCAAGCGCACCTCAAGGAAATGATCTGTATCATCTGAAATTCTGAAGAAGTATTCATCCTGAAAGTAGAAAGAACCATGACAATATACTTAGTCTGTTTCACAGGATCTGGCCAGGTTCTGTGCCAATCAAAGTTCAAACACAGAACACGCAGATGGCGATGGATAAAAAGAGCTGGAGACCAGGAAGGAAGGGCACGCAGTTCCAGCCCAGACAGATGTCTGGCTCTTCATAGGGCTGTGCAGAATTTGATGTTTTCCTTTTTCTGTAACCAAACTGGGGAAGTTTCAGTGTGACTTTCGAGGACTCCCTCTCTTCAGGCTTGTGCCATATACAAGCAAGACCAAGCTGGGGTTACTGTTTGTTTGAGAAGTAAGGGTGGAGGAAGAGCAGAAAATAATGACAGACTCCTAGAAAGAACATGGGACAATCACATCATGTAAAGATATGCAAATGTTTATCTGCATCTCAAATACTCAACTATGCAAAATCCTGTAAAATTATCTGAGAACTACTTTAGGTTTAGAGAAAAGAGCAAAAAATAGATTCCTTAATCCCTCCCACGTTTATAGTCAACAAAAATTGGTTGAATCAGTTGAGTCCCAGGCCTCCTTTGAGATGTGTAAATGGAATTCCTATGGAAAGCTTTCTCTGTCTTTACACAGATGTGTTGCCTTGCACTAATCAGTGACTTTGACACGGTGCCATTCTGCCAGGAAAATGACACCAGGTCCCCACTTCCCAAAGCTGAGCCAGAGCTAAGGAAAGTATGCCTTTTGACAGGGTGCCTGTGTGATTCCAAGCAATTATATGAATGGAACTTGAAAAATATCGGCTACAAATTCTCCATGAATGGGGAAGTGGTATTTAACAGTCTTTTTCAAATTCCTGCAATATGTTAGGATGGAAAACAATTTCAGTGTCTGAGTTAATTTATTGTCAATGAACAGAATAATTAAAGTGAAAATTAGAAGTGAAATCTTTAAGGCTATCAAGATATTTCTATGGCCAGCAACATGGCTTAACGGGTAAAGGCACTTGTCCCTTCAGTTCCTGGAACCTACATGGTAGAAGGAAGAACCAAATGCCACAAATTGTCCCAGGACCTCCAAGTGGCACCACCATGGTGCTTGTGGCCATAATAGCCTTCTCCCTTGAGATATTTGTGACCTGAAGACTGTTCCTCTACAGAGACTCTTCATATTGTATTAGCTAAATCTGCTCTTCAATCTAGTTGTGTACTATAAGCTCCGTCTCCTGGTTCAGCTGAATGCAGTAACCCTGCCTGTCTGTACCTCTCTTCAAGTCTATATGATAAACATATATGGAGCTTCTTCCATGCTGGCTGCAGGTTCTCTATCAGAGACAAGACAACATAGTCCCAGCTTCTCTGTGATCTGCATTTGTCTTTTCTCATTCCCACACCACCCAGGTCAAGGCCCTGGGAGCCATGCGAGTGCCCAGCACATCAGAGCAATCCAATACATGACATAATGTAGGGTATTATTAATGACTCCAAACACTATGTATAAACATCTTTATTATATGTATTTGATGTGCTTGGAAATTATTACTGAAATGACTTGGTCATCGACCTCTTGACACAGTATCACAAACAGCAATTACCTGTGTGAGTATTTAAGAAGGAAATTCTGACTTGTTTAGAGTCCAATCAAACTAATCCAACAAGTAGTTACAGGTGTCTTACACTGGTTACAAGTTGACTTTTATGACCCATACTAGCCAATATCAGCTTTTCATAGAACGAATGAGAAAAATTCCTTTATTTCTTGATCCATTGGTTCAATATCTAGCACTACTCCATGTGTCTCACTCACCCCATATTCCATTATTTTATTTCACAGCATCATCTCTTGCTTAACTGCTCTTACCTCAAAGGGAAAACCACATTTTTAAACATGTAACTTACGGGCTTCATTTACAAGTTGGTGCCACAAATAAACAAAACATTCTGTTCTGGTGAGCAATAGATTTGGAGAATTTTCTGACCAGGGTCCAGCCAATAGTTTTGGTAAATCCACACATTAAGAAGGGGTGTGAGTCATTCTCTACATTCAGCACACCTGTACTCGTGCCACGAACTAATTATTCTATATCCTTGCTTTGGTCTCTCTGGGATCAGGCTGAAGTAAAAAGCAAGTAGTCTATTAGAAAAAAATCATAATTTGTTCTGTCCGAAAAGAATGATGCTGTTACCAAAGCAGCACCAGAGGCACCCACTCCCAGAGCTGGGAGAAACCACTGCTGCCTCTGTTCAGTCAGCAGCGCTTTCATGGAATGGTCCAGAATTTGCTAATATGTGCCCTAAACAATCTTAAAATACAGTGTTTAGATAATAAGAGCATAACCTAAACTAGGTAGGTTGCTGCATTACTGGGTTTCTGTTGTCCCCTGCTAACAAGGAAAAGTGCCACTAGTTGTAGTTAGCAGCAATGCTAATGTCTGGAAGCCTTCTTATTTCCCAACTGCTTCTGAAAACATCAGGTTACTAGAGACTGGCTCTGAGCTGGAGAGAAATCACTCAGGTAAGCTGAGGCTGCTCCTTCTGCTTCTCCATCTGCTGAGCTGCTAACACCAAGACACACTGACAAGGGCTCAAGGAAAACGTACTATTTCATCAGTAAGATTATGCTGCCCCAGAGACAGATGTTAGGAAGCTGCAATGTTTAAAAAGAAAGAGATAATCACATGCTTGAGGGGAAAGACTAAAACCATTTCAGAGGTAAGGGAGAAGATTAAATGGAAGACAGAAAGACAGAGGGCTGTGAGGACACACAAAACGGAACTGCAGCTCTGCCTCTGGCAACCCTTCACCCTTAGACAGGCATTTTCCACACACCGGGGTAGATCTGTAAGAAGTACTGATCAGGGCCAGTGTGGATTTCAGAGAAGACACTTATCGCTTGTCATCAGCAGCTTAATGTCAGGGCTTATATGTAAATCCATGTCCTCCAGATTCATCAAAATCTAAACAGAAACATGGACATTTTGGTAACCAATTTTCAGAGAACACGAAAACATCACTCAGTTCTAGGTTTATCTACCTGTGACTTTTCTGCAGAGTCAAAGCCCTTTGTCTTCACTTATATTTACTAAGCCACTAAACAGGGACTACAGTTGAAGGTTACAATAATATTTATAATTGGCACGTGGCTGTCATCTATTAAGTCAACACTGAACAATTTTAAACAGCACAGTCTCATTTTTGTGACATTTTAACATTGTTTCTCAAATAAATGCAGAGTCCAAACAGGAGCAGCATGGACTGGGTTGGGCTGAAGTCCCAAATAGTTATTTGCTGCACTGCTTTGGTTCATCTATCTGTAAAACAGAGATAATAATGCCCACCTCACAGGGCTTTCCACGGAATTACATATTAGTAAATGCCATAGCATTGTACATGCACTTTCGGTCCTCAAATAATGGCAAGTGACATCATTACAAAAGAAAGCAAACACAAAGACAGAAAGCAACTGTTGTGAGCAAGCAGATGCATGTCCAATTAAACTACTGCTTGTTCTTTTCTTAAAATCCATATACCGTGCTTGTGTGGTGTGGCAGAGCCCTTCTTTGTCACTTTCTCCCACTGGGAAAGGGGGAGACCATCTCTTGAAGGCAGAGGACAAGACACAGGGTGTTCCAGAGTGCAAGAGTAAGCAGACAATTTCCACTAGAAGAGGAAGAGGGAATGAGGTGCTAACTACCCCCTTAGTGATGGAAACCCGGAAAAATAATGGCAAAGCCTGCAAACTGGAAGCTTCAAGAGCTGTCCCTGTTTCCTGTTTGGCATTTCTAGGAAACAAGTGTGCAGAAAAACCACAGCTCAACATAGGAGCACTAAAAATAGTACAAAGGCAGCATGGTGAGAAGGAGGCCAGGGATGCTCTCTCATGGCGGGCCTTGGGCGTCCTTGGCACCTGCAACAGCAGGCTCTTGTGCTGAGGTACTCCTTCATGATCACAGTAGCTTTATGTGGAAGGTCATGGAGAGTTGAACATGAGAAGCCATTTGAGTTACTGTGAAGTATCCCCAGAGAAGATTAGCTGAGTAAACCTTAGTCCAGGGTTCACAGGACAGGTGTGGCTGAGACATGCAGACCAGCAATGCTGTTGAGAAAAGAGAGTATGTGAGCAGTGGAGGGCACAGGACCCTGACAGCCCTGTAAGAGATATGGAAGAGTGTCCGTTTTCTTACAAGACATGGTCCCTGAGCTACCCATGCTCCAGGAGAGTGTCCTAAGCCCATGCAAATGCAAGCAGCACTAAATGGTGGGGTTATTTTGTTTGTTGACTTTTGTAAATGAAGTCAGGAGGCTAGTTGATAGTAGGGGACAGGAGAGGAGAATGCATTGATCAACGTGCATTGTATACTAAGAGTTCAACAGCAGATGAGTGAGGAGACCATCCCTATGGAGGTTGATGGGAATCACACAAGAGCACAGTGTTCCCACAGATGTGAGGTTTTCTTGTTGCCACTCATGCCCCCAACCAGGACACACAGCATTTCCTAATGCCTGCAGGCCCAGTCTCCTCTAAGAAAGGGAGGTCTGGTGAGCACACAAACTGAACTGACCCTCCTAGAGAACATATTTCAAACCTAAAGAGACTGAGGTCCTTCTTTTGTGGTCTTCCCATTCTATTTTACACAAAGGCTTTTGATGCAGGGCATGAGGCACATGCCTGTAATCTCAGCACTAGTGAGCTGAGCGGGCAGAAAGCTGTTTCCAGGCCAGTCTGGACACAGAGTGATGTGCTGTCTCAAAAACAAAACCATTTATAAGAAAAAGCAGAAAGGATTTATCACAGCAGAAATGAAAAGGAGGCCTTAGCTCCTGGTTAGTGAGAGGCAGTGTTCTGTTCTATGACATCTTTTTCTGAAATAGGGTCTCATGTGGACCAGGCTTGTCTTAAACTCATGTCCTCTGCAAGAGGACTGTATGGTCTTCACTGCTAAGTGACTCTCCAGTCCTACTCCTAGACTTTCCGAATGATAGGTCAGAGAAACCTGCAGAATGAATGTTGTTAACAGGACCTTATGATCATAGAAAAGAAAGCTACAGTTTTACAATGAAAAAAATCCATGATGTTCTGTAGACATTAATTTATAAAATGGCATGGTAGAAAGAGCATTTCAAGAGGTACACTGATTCTTTAAAAACTACTATCCACTTGTACAATTTTAATATTTTTATCTTTGTCACCACTAAATGTATTTGATTTTACATACTAGTGCATGGACAGTAAACAGTGAGATTTAGAAGAAAATTGGTCTCTGCTTCTATGTGTTACCTCTGACCAAATCGGTGCTTCAGCAAGCCACATTGATTGAAAGGTGACACCATTAGAGATTATGAATGATTAAACAAATAGACTCTTATCGGATTAGCTTTTCAAAACAGTGTTTCATCTCTTCTCAATGTTCTTTATCATCATAGGGTGCAGTTGTATTTGAAATCTATAGTTCCTGGCATATCTGGGCTAAGGTTATACTAGGAGTTTACCAAGCCTGTCAGTCTCCTTAACTTTCTCCCACATTTCATTCTCTCATTCTGGTTATAATTAGTTGTCTGGTAGAATTAAGAACAGTCTATTTCAGTGAATGCTCATGTGAACATTTAGCAACTTTCTGTTACAATGACAGCTTTGCGACAGGAAGAATAAAACTAGAAAAGCAAAAGTCACTGGAGTAACCTCAGTTCACTCACAGTGCCAACTCAACTGGAAATGTTGAGACTTGGTGACTTTTCCGTTTGGTTATTAAACATCAGGCACATTCTTCTTGCCAGGAGACAGCCGCAGTTTGATGGCATTCCTGCCTCAACCAGCATGTTTTGAACTGACCTGTCTTCATTGCTATGGCTCTGTAGAAACACTGCGACTGCTCAGCGTGGATTCAGCTGAGTGCTTTGACGCAGAGCTTGTCAGAGAAAGCTATTTTAGTCCTCAACTGCAGCTTCCTTCCAAGATGCAAACTGCTGCTGCTCAGACACAATGTTCACCACTTGATTACTGTGAAGGAAGGGAGCGGAACAGTTAGCCTCTATTATCAAAATCTACAGTGAGCGTGGTACTTAGCAGGACTGGAACCATCGTATCTGATCTCCACATTTGGGGGACCTGAGTAGCTAAGTCAGCCCCACTGCTCTTCCCTTACTAAGGGCATGACTGTCTGCCGTGTCATGACCAGGCCTGTAAAATGCAGTATCCTTCCTGCTGGCCTTACAAGGATAGCATGACTAAAGGAGACGCCCACAACAGTCCTGAGAAGAGTTGCAGCAGCACAGTGAGTGCCACAGGAAAAGCAGTAATGTTTATTATTGTCTTTAGGATGAAGATACCCACTCCCCATTCACCAACTGCCCTACTCACCTGAAAATGGAAATAAGAAAAAAATGAAAAGTCACTTTATGGTATTTTCTGTATGTGTCTGAACTCAAGCTCCATAGGAGGAGCACCACAATACAACAGTGTAGAATACTTTCACGGTATAACCTTATTTAGAATACTGTTGTTAATTTGCCTGTCCAGACAAAAGCAGAATAAATATGCTATATATTTATATAAAAACCCTAAATGGATTCCAAGAAACCCCTGAGGCATGTCTTGAAGGGGACCATCAGGGATGCTCTGCTCCTGGCTGAGCATGAAGCAGCTTCCCACATCCGCAGCATGACTAGGATGTTTCCCATTGTGGAAGAAACATTGGTGTTTCCCAGAAAACCCCCTTTGCATTCCTGGGGCATAGCTAAAGCACATTTCTTATTTATTTATTTATTTATTTATTTATTTATTTATTTATTTATTTATTGGTTTTTCGAGACAGGGTTTCTCTGTGGCTTTGGAGGCTGTGCTGGAACTAGCTCTGTAGACCAGCCTGGCCTCAAACTCACATAGATCCACCTGCCTCTGACTCCCGAGTGCTGGGATTAAAGGCATGTGCCACCATGCCCAGCTCAAAGCACACTTCTTTATCTCCCTTGCTGTTAGCTGGAAAACTGGTGGTGAGTTTTGAAGCCTGTATGAAGCTCTGTGTGTATTTATCTTCTTTTCCCCACTACTTAAATGTGCATGAACCAGTGGAAGATGTTATCCTAGAAAATGAGAATCAGTGAGCAAGGTACTGAAATTGTGTATTTGTTCCTATTGTGAAGTATGCAGTAGGAATACTTGCTATACTTAGGGCTTCATAACAATAAAATCACAGTAAGTTCATATCAAATTATAGCTATTGAAGGCATCTTAAATGTCATTTCTATTATAATCAAACTGCTTAGAGATAACTAATCAATGCACATACTGTTATGCTCTTTATTTCTTATGTTACTGAAGCATACATATTATTGTTAGAGATACTTAAAAACCTTAATAAACCTATTTCAATATTTTTTCTTATAATCCACATGATAGTGATACCTCAGGAAAATTTTTCTTCCCCTAAGAGGTCCTCAAGCTTTACCAGGTTGCCAAGGGGTTACAGAGACCTGTTCAGGGTGTATCCTATCGAGATTTTTCCTGAGCACCTCTCCACCTAGGCTTCATCACCCTGAAGATCCACACTGCTCTGTGATGAAAGAAGACTTTAATTTGTAAGGCACTAAGTCAGGACTGCTTTTACTTAACAATTCAGTTACTTTATGCAAAGCACTATATCCTAATCATTAAAGAGGCTCCAACAAGATCCACAGAGGTTTCTGGTTAGATATGACCCGAAACTGAAGACTGAGGAGCAAGCATTAGATGGGCTCATAGGGTGTCTCAGAAGCAGAATTAGGTACTTTTCATCAAATTCATGGAAAACCAGGGCTGACCATGCCAAAAGAGAAGGGAGGAAGGAAGACAGGAAATGAAGAAAGGGAGAGAGGGAGGGAGGAAGGAGGGAGAAGATTGCAGGAGAGAGCAACTTGGAAGGGAGATGAAGTTGAATACAGGAACCTAAGATTCAACTATGCCACATAAACAGACAGTTCATTTGTAATTGTATGTGTTATATAACGGCCATGCAAGAAGGAATCTTCTTTGGTATTTTTCTCTTCATCTAATAGATGAGCAGATATTTTTATTTGCTTTATTTCTCAGGTTCTAAGGGCTTTTGAGTTAACTGCATTTCACATGTAGAGTTTTAAAACACTCTTATTAGCTCCATTCTCAAGTAATTTAACACTGAAGAGGAGTGAATTACCACAGAGATGTGATCAATATTGCCTATGTCCTTCATGAAGACTGTTAAAAGAAGTAACTAAAAACATTCTGTTTGGACTAAATAAAACCTTCAGTGATAAAAATCTTTTGTGTTTGATGTTTCCTTTATTCTCCTTATTTTTCAAATGCTGTACTGTGTATAGAGCCCAGGGCATACTAGACAAGTGAATGTCTGCCACTGTCCAGACAGGTTTTAAGACAGGCAAATATTTGATGACATATGTTTCTGAAGGCATTATGTTTTGCTCAAATTTACTGCTCCCTTTACACTCTTCTGCTGGCCTGATCCTGGACCAGATGAATCCCACTGAAACTTTCAAACTGTCCTTAGAGCATGGACCCTTGAATCATATGACAGAATTCTTTCTAGAAGAAATACTGGGGTATTTAATTATTACAACAGCCTGTTTCTAAGATAGTAGTTTTTAAAAGGTACTTGGTGTGTATGTGTGTGTGTTTTAGTTATATTTGTTTGTGTTTGTGTATTTATAGGCTCATGTGTACAAGTCAGAGGACAGCTTTGGGGAGTTGGTTCTTTTGTACCACGTGGGTCCTGGGAATTGAGGCTAAATTCACCAGGCATGGCTGCAAGTGTCTTTAACCATTGAGTCACCTTGGCTCTTTTTTTTCTTCTTAAAATCATCATCATCATCATCATCATCATCATCTCACTAGCCTAGGATGACCTCAAACTCAAAAATCCTTCTACCTCCCCCAAACTGGGATTATAGACATGTGCCACTATGTATGGCATTAGCAGGTCTTAGAATGTTTTTGCAAGTACAATACTTTGCTCTAAGTTTTTGTGTGAATTTTCACAAATCCAAGAGTGAAAACAGCATAAGGAACCCACAGTACAGATTTCTCATCTTCAACAACTATTAAATGCTGCCATTCTTATTTATTTTATTTCATTTTTTGAAGTCCTTAAGATCCAACCTGGGGCCATTCACAGGCTAGTTACATACTCTCTACGACCTGTGCCCCTGTTAGCCTATTTTTATTTGAATTCTCCATTAGGGCTGTTTATGTCCTTTTATTTTTTGTTGTTTTTTAATAAATTTTATGCTTTACATTAGCTAATTTGACTAAAAATATATTTTTAGGATAATTACTTCATATTTAGCACACTTAATAGAACAGAGTCCATGTTTGAATTCTGCCTGGGTGTCTGAAAAGGTCTGGTTGGTTTGTTTTAAAGAACATTGCAGAAGTTCTCCTAGTGATGATTTGGCTGCTATTATCTTTCATTTAATAGAAAATTCTTTTGTTGTTGTTGTTTTGTTTTGGTGGTGGTGGTGATGGGCAATAAATCCAGGGCTTTCTGCATGTTAAGTCAGAGCTGTACCAATGAGCTACAACCCCAGCTGCCCATCCCCCTCCCTCTTTAAAATAACACTTATCTGCTGAAGAAGCCAGGACATTGTTCTGTCAAAATGCCTTCATTCTCATTCTGGATTTTGCTGACTGCATTGTGTACTGTTCAACGTGCCCCTCTACTGTCTATAAATAATACTCATGGGAGCTGAAAAAGAAGTGTAATTTTCTTTTAGCAAGAGTATGGATGGCACAGGTGACACTGTGGATACCTTCACTACATTCAGGAAAAATGTAGTACTTGTCTGAGAGTAATGGCCGACTCTGTGTTCTAGGTCTGACCTATCATTACAAAGTGTTGGAAATTTTCCCGTTACCTATTAATGACCATTGGTTCTAGACTCATTACTTCATCAAGAGTTTTAAAATGGTGATTTTAGAATTCCACCATTCTAATTTGTTAACTGGAATTCTCAGAAGATAAAATTCCTTGCGTGAAGTACAAGGTTACCCAGTGCAGGACAAATGCCTCTTTTTTTCTGGATTTAACATACTTCCAGCATGTGCATTCTTGTGCATTGCTTACTGCTAACAGTGAGTCCTGAATCTTTGCTGTCAAAGTTACCAGGCTCTGGTCACCAAGAAAGCTAGCAAAAGTACAACAGGGTGGGACACGAATGGATAGGACAAGATGACCATGTCAAGGAGTACAGAGGGACCAGGCCAGAGAAGAGAATACCTTAGGCAGGGCTCTAGGAGGTGGAATCCAAGTCCTCTGAGCTGTCCTAGTCACCAGTGCTGTCACTAGCCGGGCTCTCCAGCTGACAGGCCTCTTCAGCACCAGGGAGTGTGCTGTCCTGGGCTTCCCAGTTCTCCCTGGAGCCCAGAACCACATATCTGTCCTTCTTCAGCCTGAGCTCATCAGCCATCTCTGAGAGATCCCGCTTCATGGCATAGGCATCTTCCCCATCGGCATAGTACTTGGGCTCCACCTCACTAACCTGGAAGTTGAGGGTGTTGGAATAGAGGTGCAGGGCCGCCCTGTTGCTCTTCCTGACGTGCAGGGACACGTACTTGGCGCTGAAGTTCTCGATCATGGCCCTGGAGGCCTGGTCCATGAGCTTCTGGGCCAGGCCGAGGCGCCGGTGTGAGCGCTTCACTGCCAGCGAGGTGATGTGCCCGTGGGGGACATCATCAGGGTCCTCCTCCATCTTGGCCAGCACATAGCCCACGATCCTGCCGTCCTCGTCCTCGGCGATGTAGGAGAGCTGGGGCCACGACAGGCCGTGGTAGAAGTAGTACTTCATCTGGTAGTTCTCGGGCAGGCAGAGCAGGTTGCAATGCTGCATGTTCATCAGGTCGTCGGGCCGGGCATTGCGGATGTTCATCCTGGCAGCCGGGCCAGGGGCCCACGCCACGCCGTTGCCTCGGGAATGGACCTCAGCAGGCCCAGCCGCGTGGCAGGAAGGCGGGAAGGCCAGCAGGCAGAAGGGGCGGGGCTAAGGGAGCTTCCGGAAGCCTGAAGTCCCAGCCAATAAGGTGGCCAGTTGACAACTCCTGCACCTGCGCACACTGGGGAAGGGGGGCGAAGCCAGAGGAGTTAGCTGAGCTGAGCTCTGTTTAAAAACCCTTGTGACTCATTGCTTCCTTGTGTCTCCTATTGGTTTCTATTTTAAGTTATTTTCTCTTTTAAATTTACTTATTCTCTCTCTGTGTATGGTGTGTGTATGTGTGTGTGTGTGTGTGTGTGTGTGTGTGTGCACGTGTGTGTACCACAGGTACCACAGTGCATGTACAGGTTAGAGGACAACTTGAAGGAGTCTCATTTTCGAATGCATGGGTCCCAGGCATTGGACTCCAGCCCTGAGTTTGTCAGCAAGCCCCAACACTCCCTATACTCAATGAGCCACCAGTTTGGAACCAATTTTAGCCTTTCAGTTTGTCTACATCTGAACAGCCCTGTGTTACTAGAACAAATAAATCAGTTTATCAATGACATCCTAGGTAGCCTGCTCTTCCTGCCCTTTACCCAAAAGGACTGCTGCTACCTAACAGGTTTCATGTAATAAAATCATACTGCATGCATTTGTTTTGTCTATTTTTTCCCATGCACTATACGTGGGTTTCAGCAATCTTGTACACACCTGAGGCCATTCTATATGCTAGTTTGTTTCATATTCTGTTGTCTAAGTTTACTGAAGGTCACTGGGAAGTCCTGCGGTTTAAGGCTGTTTGTGTTATTTCCAGTTTGAAATAGTATAGAGAGTATGGCTAACTGTTGTTGAATATTTAGGCAGATACTCACCTGGATTAGAGAATATAATGATTTTCAAACATTATAATATTCCTAAGCAAATCTGCAAAGAGACTGATACACCTTCCTATTGTTAGAAATATGTTCCAGGTTGCAAAGAAAGAGACCACCACTCCAAACGAAGTGTCTGAACAAGGCAGAACTCATGACTATGGGGGTGTGCTCAGATGAATGAACACAGATAGGAAGTGTATTTGGTTTTTATTCTAACTCTGGTGGTGACTGTGTCTTTTCCCCATTGGCCGGGGTCCTCACAATCTCACTCAGTTGGATGAAGAAGAAACTCGTGCACAGGAAATGAAGGAAGACGGGGGATGAGGTCACTGCTCCAGGCCATCAAATTCCTAGAATAGAGCAATGGATCTTTGTATGAATAAAGGTTTTACTTGGTGGAGGGAATTAAAATATTTGCATAAAAGACTTACAAGGTGGAGAGAGATAAAAGAAAACCTTAATTCCTTGTCCTAAACACAAGTTTTATATTATTTGATAGAATAATGTCATATTTAATATTTCTAGCATTGTCAACATGTTATTTCTCCATTCTTTTAATCTTATTCATTCTTGTACAGGTGTGGAGGTGTTGCACTGTGTTTTATTTGGCACTTCTCTGGTGACTAGTGACACTGACTACCTGCTTATTAGTTATTCTCTGTCCTCTTTTGAGAATTGGGTACTCAAGTTTTTGCTTATTGTTTTTTAATTGGCTTAAGTATTTTTCCTTCCTTCCTTTCTTTCTTTCTCCTTCCTTCTCTCCCTCCCTCCTGTCGATCTTCTGTGGGAACTGGGAAGATAAGACTGTTGAGAGTAGTGTAGAGGATGGAGACCTGACTTGTGAAGTTTCAGAGGGAAGTTTAAAGATTCTGTTGGGTCCATTTGGTATTTTGAATTAAAATCCCATGATTCTGGTTAGCTGGGGCTAAAGAATCAGCTGTGATTAACAAGATACCAGAACTACTACAGCAAAACTTTACTTTGCTGGAACAATTCGTGCTGATCTGCTGGAGCTAAGAAAGTAGCAGTGATTAAGAAGAGACCAGCATCATTGAGGTGAAATATTCTGGGAAGTGTTTCCTGAGAACACAAAGAAGCTGTGGTCCAGAGGCGGCCAAGGCTGTACCTTGTGCTGGCAAACACACTTGGTACTATGTAAAAGTCACCTAGGTGCTCCTGGTTTTGAAGGCATGAGGGGGTCATGGAGAGCAACTGAGTCTTGGCACTGTGAGACGCCTGGAGAGGTCACTTGTGAAGGTGCAGCCTCAGTGACAGTTGAAGGCCCAGAACTGAAGGGGTCATGCAAAGAAGTCTAGGTTGGCACCATGAGGAGAGCCTATGAGAGGCTGTTGGTGAAAAAGCATTCCTGTTGTAGCAGAAGATCCAGTGATTTGGAAATGTCAGTGCCATGGGATGACCACCAAGAACAGCAGCACTGAAGGAGGGGAGCCAGCCCAGCCTAGAAGACAAGCTGTGTGTGCTGCAGAGGGCAGAGATGGGGAAGTGACCCGGGTCATTTGGAGCAGTCCAACAGATCCTGAGTGTATCACAGCCATTGGATGCCTGAAATTTGGTTTTTCTTTTATTGTAACTATGACCTAACTTTTCCCTCTTGAAGTAAAACATTTTATTGGAGCTCACATTGACAGACTTTGAATTTTAAAAGATTTTGGATTTTTAGAGATTGACTATTTTAAAGGGACTGAAGTTTTAATGTGTTTAAATTTGTAAATTTTTGGACTTTTGAAGTCATATATGTTTTTAATATGAGATCTTCGGGATGAACAAGAAAGGAAGGATTGTGGCTTAATAGTGATATGTCTGTGTCAAGTTGACAGGGATAAGTTGTAGTGGCTGGTTTTGTGTATTAACTTGATACAAGCCAGAGTCATCAGAGAGGAAGGAGCCTCAGCTGAGGAAATGCTTTAAATTAGTGATCAATGAGGAGGGCCCAGCCCTCTTCTATAAAGAAGCAGGCTGAGCAAGTCATGGAAATCAAGCCAGTAGGCAGCAATAGAAACCCTAAGACAGACAGACAAACAGCCGCACACAGGCACGCACTGCATACATGCACACACACTCACACACACACACACACTCACAATCTATCTTTCTAGTTTCTCAGCAGACTAAGGAACTCAAATACTAAAGTGTACTCAGTTGTAATTAGAGTATAGCCTGATCCTGCTTCTACTCTCACTTCATGTAAAATTTGTGCCAGAATTCTCACCAAGGACAATACATACTCCTTTAATAGCTAGAGCCATGTGAGTTATGAGACATAGCTTAAATAGTCACTACGTTGTTGATAAAATTTAACAATTAGCAGTAGTCTCACCCTTGTAGTCCAGGCTTCCCTGAAACTCGTGATCCTCTTGCTCCAACATGTACAGTGGCTGGTGTTGCAGCTTGCACCATTGGACCTAGCTTTTTTCCCTTTCCTTTCCTTTTTTCTTTTTCAGACAGTTTCAATATGTAGCCAAGACTGACCTCACGTACATGTTAGTGTCCCTATCTCAGCTTTATAAGTGGGATTATATGCATATGCCACCATGCCTGGCTTTTGCAATTTAAAGTTTATTTAGTATTTATTCATTCTTTGCTAATTTTCTACATGTATACAGTTTATTTTGGTCATTTTCCCCCTTATTACCATCTTTCTCCCCATTCTCCCTGCTGAATTCTATTTTCTTTATAACAAGTCCTACCTTCTACTTCTCTATCTCCTTAAAATTACTGTTTTTTAATTCACTGAGTTAAGTCAGGGTTGCTTGCCATGAACATGTGTAATAGGTTGTTTCTTGAAATGTGGACTACCTACCAGAAGCTTCACCACCAAAGAAACCCAGTAACCCTTACTACCAATACCTTATCAGATATGGGTTAGCCCTCACAACTCCCTTCCTCATCCATTATGAAGCTTCAATAGATTACAGTTTTTAAAATGATAATTAAAAAATAGAGCCAAGGAGGCTTAAAGCTAGAACAACACAGGATGCGATGGTCTTTAAATATGTAGAATTTTTATTTCTGATACTCCAAGGTCATTTTGGAAATTAATAACTACCTTTTTACTTCTTTTTATAGTACTTGGATTGAACGTAGGGCTCCATATTCTACCTTCGAATTACACAGCTTCTCTTTGAGAAAGTCTCACTAAGTTGTCAAGGCTGGCCTTGAACTCACTCTGAAATCCAGACAGGCCTTGAACTTGAAACCTGCAGACTTAGCTGTTCATGTTCTTATTTAGTGTCTGTGCTTGTGTGGATGCCATAACAGACAGCTGGAGATCAGAGGACAATTTGTGGCAGCCAGCTCTCTTCTTCCTCCTTGTGTGTCCTGGGGATCAAACACAGGTTGTCAGACTTGGGGCAAGTGATTTTATCCACTGAGTCATCTTGATAGGCTAATATGTTTCTAAAGACAATTTAAGTATAAGTGTTAACTCCTATTAACTCAAATGAGTAGGGTTCTCTATATGATGTGCTTTTACATTTTTTCAATCATAGAGAATTTCATATTGTCAATGAAATATGATTATATTGACCCCATTTTGCCTTCTAACTCCTATATATCCACCACAAAGCACCCCCTCCCAACTTCACTAAGGTGATTCGTTGATTGAAAGGGAAGCGGAGTCTATTTAAGATGTATGAGTAGAAGAGCTCAGTGATTGGAGGCTGAATGTTTAGCTGGAAAAGTAACTCCCCCACAGCGAAGCTGCCGGTTAGGCACTACTTTACAATGCACTTGCTAATTGTTTTGAGAAATAAAAAATATTTGCAATCTTCTGCTTGTGTCTTTCTGTCCTTCTGTCATTAGCTCTTGGGTTTTCTCTCTGCTTCATTTCCCCAATGCAGCAGATTGAACATGCAAAGCATAAAACACAGAAGGATGGTGACATGTGGGTCTCTGTTCTCCAGGCTCAACTCTGCTAATCTGCCTCAACTGCCATCACCAATTAGGGTAAAGCGATGGCTCCCACCATGGCTGTTACTGTATTTAAATGTACTTGGAAAGTCATGCATGCATGTTTCACTTGATGAACTTATTATTTAGCACATAATGTAGGAAGACAAGAGGTTATATTTTGAGAACTGGGGACTCTTTAAAT